GATAATTAGTGGATTTGAATTACTTAGTAAAAGCTTAAATGTAGAAGCATTAATTGGTAGAGAATCATTACATGACTAGATATTGAGATTGTCAGTTATACCCAACCAAGCTAGAGCAGAAACAGAAATGAGTGATTGAGAACAACCTTAGATTTACACCTCAAGAAGTAAAATATATACCTATTTTAGTGCGAATCTCGTGAGTGAGAAATGAAATATTTGACCACAAAAGGTCGGGTTGAAGCCAATTTGAAGATTTTTCCGTCTTGACAACTTTTTCCTAGTTTAGATAATGATTGAAAGTGACATTGTGCACACATACCGATCGAACATTAGATAAGTTCAAATTATTTTTGATAGCATTATGTTTGCTAAAATACTACATGCTGCAAGCGCACGAGTCGCGTTCAAGTAATAAAGTAGACCTTTTAATTCCAAATTATCGATCTCTCAAAAAATATATACTTTCGATTAAACAACTTTAATTAATTTAATTCTAACAATAGAAATAAACATACAAAATTAAAAATATGATTTTTAAATAAGGAAATTAACTAAAATCTACAAATTAAGAAAATATGAAAATTTTGGGAATTTTCGGAAGCAAACGTGGTTGGGATTCATGGTTTCATTTAACCGTCGCCTAATTGATTTCTTCATGAGCCAGTTAACAAATTATTCATTTCCTACTTTAGACCCGATCTTCCAATTTTAGTTAATTATCTCTCTAGAGCGAAATTAATCTTAATTAATTGGTTTAATCTACTATATCTCTATGTCGATTAAAATCAAACAACTGTGTTAAATATTTGTGAAAATAGCTCAATAGGTCACATAGTGTTAGGAGTATATCTCTATCTCCTACACAAATTTAGGGTTTCTACTATTTGGTCTAAAATGCTCAATATTCTCTCGAACGATATACAATTCACTAAACATAGTAATTTATTAGCCACATAAATGAAAAATGCAATAAAAATCATAGTAGAAACACATGGAAATAAATAATTTAACATTAAAAGCAAATATCAAAATTAATTAAAAGTTAGGTTAAACTAATACCATAAATTCCAACACAAATATTTAGCTCATGTTAAATATATGATAAAAAGGAGAATGTTTTATACAAAATATTGCAAGTTTGACAAAATAGTGGGAAAAAAATACAAGGTATAGATAAAACCCCTTTTTGAGCTTGCTCTTGATTTTCCCAAAACCTTGCCAAATCCTTAATTGAGAATCTCATTTTGTGCTAGATTGTACCTCCAAAATACCAAGGAAAGGAAAAGAAAAGAAAAGAAAGAAAGAAAAAAAAAAAAAAGAATAGAAAGAAAGAAATGAAGGAAGGAAGAAGAAGACCTAGCCCCCCAAAATCTAGAATCCCTAGAAAATTTACCAAAAATCAGTATTAAAATGGCAAAAATCGCGTCAAGTGAAATTGTGAAAGAAGTCCCGAAATTTTATGCGAAATAGGCAAAATTCGCCCAACCAGAAAGCAGCGCGTGACCATTGGCATTCGTCCCGCGCGCGTACCGTGTACCCCTTTTGGTCTCGATAAATCAAAAAGGGTCTCCCACGCGCGCACCAAAATAAGCTTGTGCGTGAGTGCATGCTTTCTTCATTTATTTTTCCAACTTCGTCCTCCATTTAATTATACACAAGGCTCCTCAACTTTGATCATGTACAATCTAGTCCTCAAAATTTGATTTTCATATCACTTTTCCCCTCCAAAATTACAACATTATGTCCCCAACTTTTGGCACTTGTGCACTTTGTCCCCAACTTCACATTTTTGTGCGCTTTTGGTCCTTTTCACTCCCTTTTGCCTTGTTCTCTTCCCTTTGGTGATTTTTGGCCTACAAAAACAAATATTACATAATTGTGAGTAAAGTTTCATTCATTTAATAAAAAAAAATAACATATTTAGATATTAATTAAGTGCGTATAAACACACTTATCACATTATTTGGAGTATATTTGTGAATTGATTATACAATTTTACACTCATGGATTTTTTTGGCAATAGACAGTTAAGCGAAACCATGAGTCCCAACTACGTTTACTTCCAAATATTTCCAAGATTTTCATATTTTCTTATTTTGTAGATTTTTAGTTATTTTCCAAAATCATAATATTTATTGTGTGTGTTTCTTTCTATTGTTAGAACTAAATTAACTAGAGTTGTGTAATTGAAAGTGTACATTCCTTGAGGGATCAATAACCCGTACTCAAAAGATTCACTTTATTACCTGAACAAAACCCGTCACTTGCGGTGTAGTATTTTAGCGAATAAGGAACACCACGATGTAGGCTGGTGGAAACCTATAGCGTTTGCTACTATCTGTATTTGTCTATATGAAGCATGTTGAGAAGTATAAGCATGTTTGGGAGCGATTTTTCATCCAAAAAATTAATTTTTTGATCTTTATTTTACTGTTCCAGCCGTCATATTTGACTTTTTCTCTCATGGTGAACTCCACTTTTCTCCTAACAGTCAAAAAATCAATTCTCAAAATTACTTCCAAACAGGCTCTATATGAACTTTTGGGCATGTTGTTGAGTTGGCCAGAAGTTGCTTCATACTGCTTCGTTTAGATGATGCATTTTATATTGGAATTATAATTGTTTGGATTAATGGCATTTTAAAATTTTTCAATATTTCTAGACTTGGCTTGCGTCGGATCTTTTATCTCTATATAACTTTTTCCCTCTATATTGATGTCCTTAATCAATCAAACAAATAAATGGTGAGCGACTTTTCTCACATCCTTTGATTTATTTATGAATTGAACTTCACTATACTAAATTAATTAATTGAGTGAATAAATTTCCACTTCAAATAATACATCCTAAATATAAATTCACCTTCATTCGCTCATATATCTTTTGAATTTTGCCTTATTTAATCGAATTAGTACAATTACATTTCTATTTTAAGGTATATATATGTATTCTAAAACATGTTTATTAACACTACAACAAAAATGACCTCTCGCAATATTAAAAAGACAAGATTCATTAATTGAGCGATGTTAAAGAGTTTATCGCAATATTAAATGTTGTCATTGCTTAGCATAATTGAGTTTTGACAACATTTATTAAATACATGTTGTTAATGTCACATTTTGCAATGTTCATTGAACGTTGAGAAAATTTTCATTTTTTGTAAAGTTTATTGAACTTTATTAAAAGCGGGTTCTATAGCAACGTTCAGAGCATGTTGTTGAGAATTTTAATTTATATCATTTTGCAACATTCATTAGCTATTGACTTTTTGCAACGCTCTTTGAGTGGTGCGAAAAGTTTTATTTTTTTCAACATTTATTGATTGTTGTTAAAAGATGATAATATAGCAAAATTCATTGCATATTGCTAATGTCACCTTTTACAATGTTTATTAATTGTTGTGAAATGTTTTATTTTTCGTAAAGTTTATTGACCATTATTAAAAGTTCGTTCGATAGCAACGTTCATTTATTGAATTATTGTTGCTGATACTATGATATATAGGTCTTCTCAATGTTCTTTTACTATTGCAAAAAGGTCCTTTTTACCATACGACAACACCGAATGTTACAAAAGGTCTTTCAAAATATTTTTTTAACGTTGCGAAAAACTATTTTTGCTGTAGTGGTACTTCATTACTTAAAAAAATGAATTGTCGTAACCACTGCAAACATTGTTAATCGTGACCACGTCACCACAATAACGGTTTTCTTGGCCTTGGCATTTGTGTTTAGCTTTTCTGATTATGATAGAAATTAATGATAACAAATATAAATTTTGTGTCGATTTTATATTTTAAAGTTTGGTTTATTTGACGAATTGAAGCTAATAGAAAATTATTGTAAATTTTTATAATTATAAATTCAAACTACAAGTTTTTTTCAGTTAACTACCTTTATTTTCAATTTATGTCCGTGAAAGTTCAGCTTTTATTTTTCTTTCTAGCAGGAATAAGTTAATAAGAAAAGTCATAAGATTAGGGATGACAATGAAATGGAGACCGGCTTTGAAAAAGGTGAATTCTAGAATAATTTGGGAATTGAGCTTTGGGTCTATTTGATAGACCATTATTTTCTATAGAAAATGAAATTTAAATTTCAACTTCCACTTTTTGGTTGTTTGATATCATATTTTTTTTCAGGTAATTGGTTTTCTTGCCACATGGGCATTTTGAATTTTTTTTTTTCGATTTTTTGATAATGGAAACAATTTATATACCTAACTATAAAAAAAATATTTTTCTTTAATTGACAATTTCTACGTAAAACAAAATCAAACGAACACCAAAAGATAGATGATTTTTTTGACTTTTTTTGGGGAAACGGAAACAAATTTTATCCCCAATATTAGTAAATTCTATAGATTTAATTGACAATTTTTATGTAAAACAAAACCAAACGAATACAAAAACTCTTTTATTTCAATATTTTTTACGTGAAAAATTATACCAATCAAACACAATAATTGACAATTCCCAACAAAACAATATCTAGGCAATTCAATTCTTTGAAATTCGTTTTCTTTCCACTCAAATTTCATCTTTACAATCAAACGGACCCTTATAGTCTTGAGTAATAAGTTCAAGTTTGGGGAAAAAAATTGAGATAAGTGAATTTAAACAAAATTTGAATTTATTTTAAATAACTAACACCGTGGTACACAAATCATGTCTCGAAACCACCTCACTACTTGATTGTGGCAATGCATTGTGGGGCTCGGATTTGACGGTTCAAATTTCCATCCCTATACAAGTTAATCTACAAGTGCTAGATGTCCAAAGAAAGAAAAAAGAGAAAGAAAGGAACCCTTTTGAGGGTGAAACTAAAAAAAGGCAGGAAAATAATTCAAAACCATGGTCTCCAAAAAGTTCAATTCTTTCTCATTTTCTTCTGACTATAATGGCGTCTGCTCTAGTCCAAAGTGTCGTAGCAGCACAAATCCAGGTCAGCCCTTTTTGCAGAACTGCATGGTGAAGCAGAGCCCTTTGCAATACCATGATCAATGGCGCTACTAACTGGCATGACACCATAGGAAATGCCATTAATGCAACACTATCTGTGGCTAAGGAACTCCAATCAAAGAATGAGTTGATTGCACCAGAAGTTGCTAATCTGTCACCAGCAGCCAAAAAATCCCTTCAAGGAACATGCAAGGAGTCTTTCGAGACCGTAATTGATATGCTTGAGGAGGGAGACGTTGCTCTTGCAGCTGGTGACATTGCCATATTGCAAGCTAAATTAAGCGCCGCCTTAGACACCGACTGTGAAGATGAACTTTCTAGCTTTGGTGTTACGTTCCCTCTGAACAATCTATCTAAACATCTTACAAAGAAAGTGTCTGTCTGCTTGGCTATAACGGCACAAAATGTGTGTGCATAAACATTGAACTTGTGGATTGTATATTGTCTTAAGTAAGAGCGGGAATCTCGGTTTGTTAGTATAAAAAAAAGGTTGAACTCCAACCTTGAGGGCCCCTACCGTCCTGCTCCCGGAGCGTCGTGAGAAAGGTAAATCGAGGGATGTGCTCCAACACGTTAGAGAATAAGAGTTTGCTCGTACATTGATACCCACAAAGAGTTCAATTCAATATATTAGGAATCGACCCTCACATTGTGGCTATCAGCAAGGCTGAAACTACTTCACTCCTATCCTTTGTACCACTAGATTATATCTCGAGAGGCCTCGATTTGTTATTATAATATGCATGTACTGCAGATTTTGCTCTGTGAATAAAGTGTAGGAAAAATAAATAAAATAAATTTAAAGCCTCATCATTTATCTCAATAATATTTATTTTTTAATTTAATGAAGTACGTCTTGCGACCATTTTATGTAATATGTACGGACCACTATTACTCACTAATTTCTATCGTTATGTATGGAACTAATTTCTTTTTGATAAAAAACTTAATAATTATTTTGTATTTCATAATCTACACATAAAAATTCTGTTACAACAGGGATTATTACAAAACAACTGAAATTAAGGATTATAAGATGATTGTTGCATTTTCTTGATACCCAAGCTTTATTAAATAATTTTTTAATCGAATATATTTTACGTTATTTACATCATTGGCTAATAAAGTAATAGAAAATAGACATGAAATTTCGGGTCATGACAAAATATAAGGCTTTTTAAGATTTAAAAATGTGTTTAGTATGTGTTTGAGCCACATTATTTTTAAAGAATGTATTTTTCAGGTCATGACAAAAATTTTGGATTTACATGTATTATTTTATTAAAAAATGTGTTGTTAAAATGATGTTAAATCACTGTTTAAGAATATATTTCTTTCAAAATAATGCATCTCAAACAGGGCCTTAATTTGTTATTTTGAATAATTATTTTTCAAAATAAAAAACAAGAAAACATGTCTTGTTTGAGATTTTGAAAAATTATTTTATTATATTTTATTCCATGAAATTTGATTATTTAATAAAAATAAAACAATTTTATGTTAATATATTATCAAGTAATAGATACATTTAAAGTTGGTAAATCTTATATTTCCTTTTTTTTTTTTTTTTGCCTACAAAAGTAAAATAAAAATAATAAGAAATTGAGTTCAAAATGTGGAAAAATAAAAATAAAATTAGTGACGTGAACTGAAAATATTTTTACATTTTTTTTTTTATGTTAATATTCATTAAGAGCTTGGACTGTTTTTATTTTTATAGAAATTTTTTATTTTTTTAGAATTTTACTTTTTAAACTTTTAAAATTTTTATATTAAATTTTATTTTCTAAACTTATTTTTCTTGTATTTATTTTTTTAAATATTATTTATTAGAATTTTTTCTTCTTATTTTTTAAAATTTTTAGTTTTTGAGATTTTATTTAAAACGCTTGTTTTCTATGTTTTGAGCGTGTTCAAAATTTTTACTGAAAATATTCAAAACGTCAAAAGTGTGTTTTGAATTTTATATTATAAGATATCTTTGTTTTCAAAATGCATCTTCAGTAAAATTTCAAATCAAACACGTTTTCAATATTTTGCAAAATTGAAAACTAAAAATAGCAAATCAAACGCAATCTAACATTTTTAAGGTGCATTTTGAAAAATTGCCACTTCTACAAAACTTTGGCCAAACTTGCATTTTTTTTTTATTTTTTTTTGCTGTTCTTAAATGAAAAGAGTTTTCGATGTAAATCCCATCTTCAAAACAGGTTCCCTCTATCTTCACTTGTTAAAAATTAACTTTATGAAGTGGGTTCCCGCCCCTTTGACGACATTTCTCCCCGGAATATGGAGGTTAATCTAATTTTCTAGTGCTTTTCTCAATTTTTTGAGGTTTATGTTAAATTCCTTTTATGTTGGTTTATGAAAGATTTTCATGTTATGGGGTAGTAATGGCAATTTTGATGTGAGAATGTTTTTGAAGTAATTTTTTCTTTTTTATTTTTGGGTAAAACTTAGTTTCAAAACTTGATTTTATTATGAAATGGGGCACCTCTATTTGGTGGTAAATTTTTGTTTACTATGTTGGATTACATTGATAGAATATTTAAAATGTGGGTAGTTTTGTGTTACATTTGAGCAATGTAGACATGTTTGTTAAGAATCATAAACTTTAATTCTATTCAATCAAGAGTAATCAATTCAAAGAAATAAAAATAAACACTCAAACATGCAAGTTTTATAGAAGTTTGCCTTAATGTGAGACCACGTCCTCTTCTTTCGTTCCAGTAATTTACTATGATAAAAAAAGAGTTACAAGATGAAATTGTATGCCTCTCTTCTCTAGGCTCTCTTTCTGTCTTCTTGATGATAATTATAAAGCCTAGCCACGGCCTCTTATTGATAAGATAAATTAGGGCGAAATCGAATTTTAAAAGGATTTCAATTATTTAATAAAATTTTACAAGAATACAAATTTCTAAACAGTCCTTAATTAGGATCGATAATAAATCAAGCTTACAACTTAACAATCTCCCACTTGGAGACTAATTCATCATCAATGACTCATCTGTAGTTGCAACAACTCATCATTCTTCAAAAGATAAGCCCATTTAAAGTTGTATACAACTTCAATATCTTGATTAGAACAATTTTCATCAACATGTCAGCCAAATTTTGACTTCTTTAGATTTTTTCAAATGTTAAGATTCCATTCTCCGAAGTTAATATAATGAAACGATAACGAACTTTAATATGCTTTGTCCTTGTATGATAAATAGGATTTTTTGCTAAGTGAATAGAGCTTTGCCTGTCACAAATAATACAGTATGCCCATACTTGTGTTCCAATTATTCCAAAAATGACTGCAATCATAATGTGTCTTTTCTAGCTTTCATTACAATGACACACTCGACCTCAATAGTGGAAAGAGCAACTATCTTCTACAATTTAGACACCTAACTAATTGTTGTACCATCTAAAGTGTGTATATATCTAGTAGTACTCTTCCTGCCCTATAATCCCAAACCTAATTTTCTAAAACATAAGGCTAAATCTAAACTACCTCTCAAGTATATGAGAATCCACTTTCTTGCCTCCCAATGTTATTTGCGTGAATTACACATATCTACTCACAACTCCCACTATATGTGTTATGTTTGGTCTTATACACAACATAGCATACATATGACTGCAAATATAGAGGCATAAGGTACCTTAGCCATGAACGTTCGCTCCTGCTCTGTAGAGGGCAACTGTTCATTTGATAGCTTGAAGTGACTTGCCAAAGGAGTACTAACTGGTTTTGCATCATCCATGCTGAAATTTCTTAACACCTTATTCACATACTCTTCTGGTGACAATTAGAAGATGTCACTATCCCAAGTAATTCTCATCCTATGGATTTGTTTTGCAACATCCAAATCCTTCATTGCAAGCTCCTTAGATAAATCCTTTTTTGGCTTATCTATGTATTGCTTGCAAGCACCTGCAATCAACATGTCATCAATATATAATAGCAAGATAATATAGGAGTTACCAATGTTGTTTACATAACAACAATGGTCCTCCTGACACCTTCTAAACCTGTTATTACTCATAAAATTATCTAACTTCTTATACTTCTTTATCAAAGCTTGTTTAAGATTATATAAAATCCTTTGAAGCTTTTACACTATTTTCTCATTTCCGTGTACTTCAAAACCTTGTGGTTGTATCATGTAAATATCTTTGTCCAGATCACCATGAAGAAAGATTGTCTTTACATCCAACAGCTCTAAGTACAAGTATTCATTTACCACTAATCTAAGTATTGCTCTAAATGTGGTTAATTTAATGACGTGAGAGAAAATCTCGGCAGAGTTAATGCCTTCTTTATGTTGAAATCCCTTTACAGCCAATCTTATTTTATATCACTAGCTTTCATTATACTCTTCTTTTAAATCGTAAACCCATTTATAAAGCTGTATTTCCTTTTGGTAACTCTGTCGATTGCCATGCCTGATTGGATAATAATGAGTCATTCTAATATCTCATGACTAACTCCCACTTGATTGATTCATTAACCTATTTAGCTTCATTATAACTTTCTGACCTCTATTAGTCAATAAAATATAATGCAATGCTGGAGAGTATCTCTATGGAGGTCCAAGTTCAGTCGTAGGGGCATTCTAATATACTTCTAGGACTATACTTTATCGATTTTCACCATCATCATTCTCTAACTCAATCACTGGAAGATCTTCAATAGGATCTTCTCAAACTACTTAACTTCAAAACTTAAGTTTTTATGGTGTATTCCCAACCTGTCCTTACACAACATTTTCATTGAAGATCACATCCTTGCTCTTGGTAAACTTTCGAGTTTGATCATCGCAAAAATAATAACCAAACTCGTTATCACTATATCCAATAAAGAAACACCTTATTGATTTAGCATTTTTACTTCTTAACAGTATAATCAATGTGAATGCATGAAATACAACCAAATATTTTCAAGTGTGAAGTTTTACCTCTTCATCGCTCCAAACTGGTATTCTGCAATTTAATAATGTTGTTGGACCTCTATTGATCACATAAGTTGCACTGTTGATAGTCTCAACCCGGAACATTTTTGGTAACCCAACATGTAATCTCATACTTCTAAAATGTTTATTTAAAGTCCTATTCGTCCTCTCGATCATACCATTTTGTTGAGGTCTTCCTAGAATGGTTTTTTTCATCATTCTAGTATCAGCACAATACTTCTTGAGATCATCATCTATATAATCTCCCCCATTATTTGACTATAAACACTTCACATTCAAATTTGTTTCGTTTTCAATTATCACTTTCCATCTCTCGTAGGCATCAAAAACATAAATTTATTCTTCAAAAGGTAAACCCAAACATTCGTGCTTGGGTTGTCAATAAATTTCACATAATAATTGAAATCTCCAAGGGAAGCAACAGTTGAAGGTCCTTGTACATCCGTATGAATCAACTTCAATTTTGTAGCTTTGGGCTCCCTTCCAATCTTAGAGAAATTAACGATTTTTTGCGTACCATAAATATAGCCTTTGCACAAGGTGTGTTTTAACAGATCTTAACCCCAATGGCTTTTCTTTAGCCTAAAACACTTTCATTCTCTTCTCACTCATGTGTCCCAACCTCTCGAAACACCTTTCCATATTCTTGACATTAAGGGTAGAAATCGTTATTGAGATCTTTCTCAGAGTCTCTTCTGTGAACTTCTTTATTTAACAAGAATAGATTCATGAATATTACTGAATTTCAGTTGTTCATTGCCTAGATTTATGAACGTAGCTTTTATAGGCTCCCAACTATTCGGTAGTGATGCCAATGTGATTAGGGCACAAACCTCATTATCAAATTTAATCTTGATTGAAATCAATTGATTGATAATTTTATTCAATTTGTTGAGATGTTCTACTGTTGGAACACTTTTAGTCATTTTTAAATTAAATAATTTTTTTTTCATCAAATGTACCTTGTTGCAGGCAGATGGCTTCTCATACATATTGGAGGCACATTCATCAAATCCTTCGTAGTTTTCTCCGCTACCATGTTTTGACCAACGTTCTTTGATGTTATCAATTGGATAACACCGAATACTCG